CTGAAGTGCTGGATGCCTTTGCTCATTGGCCTCCTAGGCCACTTCTGGTATGGTGTCTCCTTACCAGTTTGCTCGCCATCCTCCTCACTCTGGGTGCGAAGACTGACCTTCATGTTCAGCTGCTTGGCCACGCCATTGGCATTGATGAGCGTGAAAGTCTCATAGAAGACTTCATCTTCCTTGCATAACAGGTCCTCTGGCATGTTCTCCCCAAGTGCAGAGCTGCTAGACACCAGATCTAGTCTTTCACAGTCCTCCCGCAAGCCATCCCCAAAATAGCCACTGTGGCTTTCCTCAGCTTCTTCATCCTCCTCACTACCTTCATCCTCATTTCCATGTGGCAGGTGCATGCTCCTCTTCCTGTCCTCATAGGATCCCTGAGCCAAACTGCTGCAAGGGTATTCCTCATCTGGTCTTTCAGAGCACTCTGTACTTGTCATGGTCCACAGCTACTTCACAATATCAACTTTCAGGATGCTTCAGCCTGAGGCTGCTCTCAAGATAAGTTACCTGCATTTTGAACAAGAGAGGAATGAACAGCAGGTAGGAATGTTTTCGAAGAAGAGCAAGCATCTAGGCATTGTTGCTACACTGTCACTCAAGGGGGCTAATTGGGCCTGGAGTTTACTATGGTAGGCACTAAACAAAGAGGGGTGGCATTATGATTGCCCCAAGGAGTGGGTTAGAGCTGAAATTGGATAAAATGACAGACAAGCCACTTGCCAGGAGTTATCCTAGCTACACAGCTAGGTAGGATTTCTTAATTTCCTACTTCCTATCTTCACTTTTTTCTTAGACATTGTCTGCTCAGTGGACACACCTACGTGATCATTAATGTGCCATGGTTACTGAGCGTTTAGTTTAGAACCTGTAATAACAGGTACTAACTGAATGTGCAGTAACCAGCACTACAGCTTTTTTGTGATGCTACTGCGCAGTAGATTAATTCTGCTGCACATTTACGCATTAGCACAGCTGTTGCCATGACACACTAATCCACAGTAGAACTAGTCTGCACATTTAGCATCATGTGTAGACGCACCCAGTGTTACTGACTTTGTTTTGACTCAGGGCTTTGTTGCTTTAAATTCTGAAGTTGGGCAAAAGGCAGAGCAGTGTAACTCCTTATAGCAGGGGTGGGCAAAATGTGGCCCACGGGCCAGATGCGAACCACCAGGCCATTCTATCTGGCCCGCGGGGCCCCTAAAAAATTTAGAAGATTAATATTAATTTGCCCTGGGCTGCCTGTCATGCGGCCCTCGATGGCTTGCTGAAACTCAGTAAGCGGCCCTCTGCCCAAAATAATTGCCCGCCCCTGCATTATAGACTACCTTGTTCAGAGAGGCATGAGATATAAAAATAGGCTACAGTCTACTTTATCAGATGCTATGAATGGACATGCAGAGACCAGGGCTACTAATTAGAAAGGAATAAGGTCATTTAAATAGAAATATTTATTTACTGCCCCTGTTCTCTGCAAGCCCATTCATGAAAGCTCCTGTCTCTCTGAACAAGTTAGTCTTTAAGGTACCATATTGTCCTACCTTTTTCTTTAACATTTTATAGTTTAAGACCATTGCCTATTTTCTGTGTTTTTACAATATGCCTACCAGTATTTGCCTACTCTTTAAATATAGGAGCACCAGGAACTAAACTGCAGATGCTTTTAATTATGTTGCTGCATTACGATGCTGGAAATCAAGCCACTATTACTCTTGGTTATCAAGGAGCTAACCTGGCAGACTGCGCATTAAGGAACCACATCTTCTCTTTTTTGGAGAAGGTCTGACATGGGAGGACTGGGGATCAATCAGGAGCCTTCCTGTGTTATGGAGAGTCAGATACTGTGATGACAAGATACTGACAGGGGCTGCCTGCTAATTCCAATTTTTGTTTTAGAAATAAAAACAGAAAGTGGGCAAGAGATCAGAGCAGTATGTCTTAGAACCTCAGGAGCTCTCAATTTGCCACTTTTGCATGCTAGAATTTCTCCTCCCCTGTCTTTGTGCAAAATGCAGGTGAAAAACTGATTGCAGAATAGGGTGTTCAAGCTGCCTGCCTACTTGAATTCTGTAGGGTTTTAATTACTCTGCAACCTGAATATGCAATGCCTCTAGCTCGGTGTTTCTCAATTGGGTGCCAAAGCACCCCAGGGTGGCTTGAGATCCTTTCAAGGGTGCTGCAGGGTGTCACGCAATGTTAACACTGCTAGGTGTGCAAACATGATTGACAAGACAAAGCCAACATTTTCAAGTAGAAATCCATAGTGTTGAAAACATGATGCTCTGTTGTGATCTTTTTGAGTCCATGGCAACAGAAGAATTGCTCTAGTATTTTTCTGTAGTAAAAAAAAAAGAGTGAAACTAAGAGCTGGCATTTTCCTAGGGATGCCTCAAATCTATTGAGGGATGGCTCAAGTCTAAAAAGGTCGAGAATGACTGCTCTAGCTGGAGGCAGAATCTGTAATGGAATAAGTTCTTGAGACACAAATTGTACACCGCTGCCAGGGAGTGTGTAAGGAAGGACTGAGGAACTCAGCCATTTGAGAACCTATGCTTTCATGAAGCTCACAATTTATTTGCAAGAGATCATGCATATGATTTGGGACTCTGCAGTTAGAGCACCAGGTGCAATGGTACACAGCAGTGTTGAAACAGTGAGATATTAAGCCCCCAGCACTGTACAGTGATATTAAAAATATAGCTTGGCTGACGCAAATGAGCAATCTGTCCTACCGGTGGCAAAAGTATCCCTGAACTGTGGAGGAATGGCAAAGAAATGCTACTCCCCACTGACAGTGGCAAGTACAGAAAATTCCTCCTCTGAGATGCAACCAACCCAAAGATGCTGACATTATTAAAGTGTCAACAAAAATAGCCCCCCGCACTTCTTTCTTTTGAATTTCAGTGCCCCAGAGTTTCCTCATTTACTGGTACTTTTTATAGTCAATTGGCAACAACTCCAGCAATTTTAATAGAGCTGCTTAAATATCCACTACTTTCAGGGATTTGTGAAACTCTGGGCAATTCTGAACAAGTTCTATCAGTACCTATGATAAACTAGGCCAGGAGGGAGAACAGGTTGTTCAGGTCACTGCATCCCCCAGGTGCAGGGAGATGGAAGTGAATAGAGACCTGCACAGAAACTTAAAGACGCTCATTTACAGGGTAAAGATGACCCTGCTGTCCTGATCCCCAGCAGCCTGGAAAAACAGATTGAGGTTCCAACACAATGTGTGGACTGTCTGACTGCAGCAAGTACCAGATGCCAGGCCTGGAGGGCACAGCTGCCTCCAGCCTGCCCCTCTTTGGGATTTTTTTTAAATAGCTCCCGCTCCCACTTCACTCTCCCTATTGCTTTCAGGGCTTCCTCTCCCCCTCTCCCACTGAGCCCAGGTTTAGATGCAATGACTTACCTTGATATTTGAGTACACAAGTATGGGCTGTCCCAGGCAGCTGGCCCCGTGGGGTTGTGTGCTCCAGCTTACAAATGAGGAAAGGTAGGGAGTTTGGTGCATAGCAGCACTAGCAAATGTGCCTGTGTCTGTCTCACCCTTTTGTGTCCAGTCTAGCAGCTGCAGAGCCTCAGGAGGTGGGGCCTGTTCAATATACACAACCTTCCTGCCTGCATCACAGAGAGCAGCCTGGGAAATACAGCAGGGCTGCCCTGTCTCAGTGCCTGAGCTATTCTTGCAGTTTACTCTTCCTCCTCCCCTCTCAGATTCTAGGGATGGACGAGACCAAAGTAGCCAAATAGATCACTGCACTCTCAAAGCAGGATTGGTCCTTACAGCAGTAGCTGCACTCAGTTTGTCCACTGTGAATTTTAAATGTGGTTTCCACTTCTGCTAGGAGATTAGCCCACCCCCTGTCTGAAAGCTCTTCCTGATAATCAGCCTAGATGCTCCTATAATGATTTCATCCCATTTCTTTGTTATGCTTAGTTGTATTATACTAAATAATTTCTCTTCCTTCTTGATACACATTTCAGATATTTGAGCATCCCCCATTTGTTTGGTCATTGGCTATAGTATACCCCACTACCTCCAGCCAGATCATTGCAATGTGTTTC